GTCTGGTTATAGATGTGCTTGCATTCAACTCCATTTTGTATCCTATGCTAACTGTGACAATCCGGCGGGGCAAAAAGACATGCCCTTATTTCTGTCCTCTCAACATTCCTCTCCCACCTGCAATTGTTGGGGAGTGAAAATCAATCACTACAATACACATACCTCAAATTTCTCAAAGATTAATTAAAGAAAATGAAGTAAATATGTGTTAAGTAGCGATTCAGTTAGAGTATCAAATTTGAATATCAAACTTTTAAAAAAAATTTTGAGTTGTATATGTAATATGAAGTGAAATTCTTTTATTTATTTATTCGCCCTACACATACATATTATACATATGTTATATTACTAAAATCTTAACTTTCTTTATTCATATTTTTGAACATAACCTAAACGAACCATATGCTATTTAGAAATGTAAATATAAAAAGTTTCCTTGGATTGTACTGGATTATAAAACAAAAATCATTATATGAAAAAAAAACTCTTAATATCAGAGAGCCCACCGCTCATTCAATGATTACAGTTGAATAGTATAATACAGTTTTAATTATACAACACTTTTTTCAAATATAAAATATAAATTATATCAAATATATATATAGGAGCATCTAAATGGAATTTTAATTCATCTGCCTTCCAAGAATAAGCTGTCAGATATTTTCATTAGGTAAGTTTAAGTTGTTTAACCGCCCACTTAAAATATGTACTAGTACTGCTTTAATTTATGTCTTTATCTACCAATTAAATTCTCTTAATTGAAATGCACCCACCAAAAAAATTTCCTTAATTGGGATGTACTACTAGTGGTCTACCACATCCCTCCTCCCCACCCCCCCGGTGAAAAAAAAAAAGGGTATTTCCTAACATGATTTTGCCAACCCCGAAAAAGAAACCATTGTTTTTCTCATCCAACACATTCAGTGTCATAGTCCTCCATCATTCTCCTTAGTTTCCTTTATCACGATGAACAATTAATCTAAAACAAAATTTAAAACTCTATGCAAAGAAAACTTGAAATTATATATATTTACTATTGAGTAAGAAGTAAACCATTTAATATTAAGATCTTTTTCTATTTAATAATTTTTATTTTATAATTTAAATTACAAATAAAAATCTCTATTAAATCCAAAAAATAGAGAGTTCGGAGTAAAAAGTGTAGCAAATCTTAATTAAGAATTTCCACTAAAGCTGAGAAAAAAATTCCTAGAGCAGCATGAAAGCTACCTACCAGAGCTAGCAGCTAGGGGTGTTCATAGTTAGGATGAATCAATTTTTAACTA